CGAGGAGGGTGGCGCGCAGAAATGCGTTTAATATACGGAATATATTGTTCCTCCACCGTGACCAGAATTTTTGAACGCGTGGGCGTGTGTTTGCGGTGCGTAGAATATATAATTAGAAAAGGGGAGCATTAGTCCAAGTTAAGATATTCTGGGAATTCAGTGTCGTGCCGAGAAATTCTTGGCCCCTGTTTGCCAGGTTCAACCCTGTACCGGAAGCTTATGCAACGGCGTGATTAAAAGAGGTCACCGTCGTTATACGCCGCGCGCTGTACGACAAGCGAATTTTGCATCGTCTTTACGCCCGACGCTCGACGGTACATTGTTACGCCGCCGGGCCATAAACGTGGACAAATTGGACACACCTGGTTACGTCCCTCTGTCGGCATCAGCTTGTCTCGGTAAATCGTGGTAATGTGTCGGTAATGACTCGGCCGCGGTTGTTTCCCCGCGTGCACGCAATTTTTACACGGCAATTCGCGTTTAACGCGATTTACCTAAAGCGACGCGAATTACCTCGAGATTTACACAGAAAATTCAAGATTCATTAAACTCCACTGAACCTCTGTTTTCGGTAAATCGTGTTCCCCGACTCGCGGTGAACGCAATGAACGTTCGTCCGTATTCTCCCCTCGAGTCCCGTGTTCCCGTTGAAAAGCTACGCTCGTAAATAATATTCACCCGGTACGCGAACCGCCCAACGAATATACGTGCCCTAGAATCCATTCGACTCGCGAGCCACGTCTATTTCGATGTTAATCCAGAAACAGTCGGCGCAAAGAACCAACGGAACTTTCCGAGGAACCGAATCGAGGAATCAAAGTCAATCAAGGCGGATCTTAATTGAAATCAGCGGGATCGAGTTTCGCTGGGGCGAGCCCCGAGGGAAGCCAACGAAATTCCGCTGTCCGCCCCGGCCGACGACGGAAGCGTCTATCTTCGCACGGCGATTTAGCGGGGCGGCGGCGGTCAATCGCCGAACCGATTGCACAGTCATCCGCGCGATCACGATACGCGATCACAGTCCGCGCAGGTGACCAGTCGACTCGCGATTCCCGAGCCTGTCGTTCATTTTTTTTCTCTTTCTTTTGCGTCGCAGCGCGACGACGATGATCTCACGCGGTCGTCGCGTCAATCGGCGTCCGTTCGCGACGCAGTTTTCCCCTTAAACAGTATTCCGAACGGGGATCGGTCGCGATTTTGCAAACAGATCGCCGGGGGTCAGCGGGTCGGGAACGTGAGGTCTAGTCCCTGCCTACCGCCGTGTCTATTCACCGTTGCTCACGCCCGGAATATGTATAACACTGATCTGCATAATGTCGGACGCAGCTGCGTTTCATTAAATCGACAGGTGATCGTTTACCTGCACCTAGCTTCTTTGCTTTTCCGTTTTGCGTCGTGGTACGCTCATCGCTGCTGCCTCCCGCGTTTCAACCCCTCGCAGGCGAGGACTTTACAAAGTGTTCGAGACCCTCGACAGAGAAACCTGAATCTTCATAGCGAAAATTGCAGCGCACTGAGCTCCGTTTGTTTGAATAATTAAATTATTCATTTGCAATTTTATATTCTAGATGCGAAAGTTCCACGTGACTCCAATCAAATCGATTATAATTCGCTCGCTTAGACGACGATCGTTTGAAAATGTTTCTAATTTACACCCAATCCGGTCACCTGTAGCAAGATAAATATGCAATGACAATAACGCAGGTTAATTGAATAATTTGATACATGTTTTTCATTTCAATACGTTCAACGCGTTAACACTAGAACTACCGAGGATTTAACACGATTGATATGTAATCTATAAAAATTGTGACAATAGATTATTTTCAGTCTTCAGAGATTCGGTATAGTATTCAAATGAAGTTATTTTCAAGGTCATTTCGAATATTCAATGCTTTTAAGATATCAATAGCGAAATAAGACAATTGAAACCAGTCATTTTGACTCACACGGGTAGTTCTAGTGTTGAGGAAGTCGCGGGTCGATTAGGCGATCGATCGCGGCACGATCGTATACGCCGTAATATGCAAATTAGCGGCGACGCGTCGCGCGAGTGAATCGTTCGTTCGACGGAATGAAAAGGTTCCGGCGCGGTTTATCTCCTCCCCGACTTTCCCTCCGGCATTGTTTTCGGCCCGTGTCACCGGCAGCTCGTCGATTTCCGCGACGTGGCCTTTTTACACCCTAATGGATCGACGTGTTCGTCCTTTTACGGCCCAAGGATACCGGAACCACCCGGACGGCTTACGCGCGCGTCGAAAAGAGAAGCTCGGACCGTAGAACGCCCGCATAAAATCGATACATTGTGCCCAACAGTTGTGCAACGCATTCCTCTTTCTGCTGCCCTGTGTCTTTGTTGTTGTCTTTCATTCGGCTCACGCTCCGCTGCTGTCCTCCCCTCGCCGTTGTTTTATATTATGCAACCAGTGGGAAAGTACTCCCGGATGGATTTCGGTCAACCGGCCGCGGCTTGGGAATCCGACCGTCCTCCGCGCTAAACGGGTCAATTGTTCGAATAATGTTAGTAACCTGGATTTTCCTTTCTCGGTTTTCCGTCGAGTACACAGTGGAATCCAGCGGCGCGGCGTACTCGAGCATCTGTCGGCTATACTTTCCGGTAAATTGGATTCGGTTAGACGGGAATTTTGGTAGCGACTGTTTTCGCGTGTCCGATAGTTGCGGATGGTAATGCGGCAGTAGCGTAGCTTCGTCTTTTATTGGAGAGATCACTTCTACGAATAAACGTTGTGAAAATTCTTTGGAGATTCTTCAGATAGTATCTCATGGAAATTGAATTTTGCGGTTAGAATGACGCCCCGTGTTCCTGAATGCGTATTTCGAGGTAGAATGACCCTCTTTCTAGCCGGGCGGCGGCTGAAAGTTTTATCTGACCCGGCAACCGAGATAATGCTAACGCATTCCGCGGCCGCGTTGAATTTCAGTTTATAAGAATTATCGCCACCGAGAATGTATTGAATATTTAATGCGTCCCGCGGCGCGTCCGCCGGATTATGTAATTCGCCGGTCCACGAAAATTGTTATGTATCTACTGAAAACTATACGAGCAAACACACATTAATATGCGACTTGCGGTTTAGCGATAATTAGACCGGAAGCTTATGCAATTTCACACTTCTGCGGGTGAACTTCGAGAAACTGCAGTTCAACGAAGTTCCCGATCCATCGATAACGTCTGCAGTAAGTCGAAAATAAAACGAACTGCATTGACACGTTGCGTTTTATGTGTCACCCTTTCCTTTGTTGCGAAAATAAACTCGGTCCGATTATCTTTTATTCAGTGGCATAGTTACTACATTACAATACTATCGAGCTAATGACGCTATCAAAGATTTTCAATGATCCCACATATTCTAATTCTTTGCAAACAATTCAGAAGCGTCAATTATCAGACGACACACCAATCAACGCGCGAACATCTGATAAATCTTGGCATCTGCAATCTTGGGATATTCTCGTACGACGCAAACCCTTAACCCTCGGCTACTGTTGGCGTTTAAAAGCGATTTAAAAATGTTATGTACCATTAGCGTCCATAAAATGTTATTAAAAATTGCATCGAATCTTAGATCTGATACAAGTGAATTCGAATTCGACAATCACATCTTCCGTCAGTCATATATTCTATAAACGTGATTATTTAATTCAGTTGAATTCAGCGTTTCCACGGTTTCAACCAACTGTCTTCGAAATACGCGTTGACGCGAGATTCTGCCGTCGCCAAGGGGTTAATACAGCGATAGCATGTAACAGATACGTATGCGCAGTCGCGTCATTCGTCGCGAAATGCGTTAGCCTCGTCCATGCGTCCAACAGGCAGCTTCTGATTAGGATCAGCGGGTGTCCCGTCTCCTGTGGCAAGCTTGTCACTAGTTGTTTCGCTTAACGAGGATAAAAGCCGCGTCGCGGGCTCCGGTTGACCGCCGGGTCGTAAAACCGGACCCCCGCGGATCGATAGACGGCGAAAGAAAACACGGTGAACAGGGTGGACGGTATCGGCGGCGGCGGCGGCGTTCGAGTGGTCGGCTCTCGGCGTTAAATGGCAGGCATATAATTGATCGACGCGAGCTTCGCCAACGTAATCTTGGCACGCGATGAAAACTCAAGGTCGCGGGCACGGCTCGCGCCGTTTCAGTGCCCTTACGTCATAGCCTGGATCCGCGGATCGGCTGTGCGAGCGAATTACGCCGTCCAGGCTTCCTGGTTGGGCGACAATTGCCTCCGGCGGATGAGGCCAGTTCGCCTTAAGCCTCTCTTCCACCAGGAAAATAGACGAGGAATAGAAAGCAGACCCTACAGATTAGCGCGCGCTACGAGAATCGACTGTACCGACCTCTCGATCTATAATCAAACCGGGTCTGTTTCGAGCTGCCTTTCGAAGGCTTCATCCGATTCTCCAGGTTGTAGACCTATATCGTCGGTTGGATTAGATTTAGATGAACGGAGGGAACGGAAGAATTGATTATGACGGATCCAAATGCGTATCGTAGCCTAGAATACCCGCCTCGCAAGGGTCAAAGGTCCGAGTTCCCGCCCACTTTATCGTCCGTCGCTATCCGTGCCAAAACTAGCAACTAGGTTACAAGATACTCGGATCCCAATGGCCAAACATGTTTGTATATGCAGCCGTGATAGGCATTCGGCTCCGAAATCCATACTCCGATTCACTGTCGGTCTATGTTCTGGCCTGCGCTCGCCGCATTATACCTACGCGGCTTTAAAACAACGAAACTTCAATCGTGGCAGCCTTACGTTCTACTTTCTATCATCGGTCACGTATTGTGTAGGTCGTCCTGGATTCTTGCGCTAATAAATAGACTGCAGAACTCGGAGCATTCGGACAGCGGTAGAATTCGAGATAGTTCTAGTATTCGGTCGGATACAATGAATCCTCTGTTTCTGTAATGATAACGTTATTGTTATTATTATTCTCAATATTCGGCAGTAATACTAACAACATCTTCATTGTTTCCTTGTTACAGATGTCGATCTGCAAAGCCAAATCGACGCTTCGCTGGCGATGCCAGCCACTTACCAGACCCTCGTCGCTCGGGCGCAATTGGCTCAGCAGTGTTGCGGATTGGCTGGGGGGCAAACCAGGATCTGCGAGAGGCTGGTGCACGACCAGCACCTTCAGCAACAGGGCTGGGCCGCCGTGGTGGCGAATCTGGAGGACATCACGCAGATGTTCCAGTCCCGGGCCGCTGTCCTGCAGCAGAGCTTCGCCGTTTACCTCTCGGAGAGGCAGCAACACATGGAGCTACTTCAGAAGTGAGTAAACGTGTCCTCGCTTCACGTGATTCCATTAGAAGCCTCGTATTGTGTTTCATAGCCACTTAAGAAGTTGTTCGGAACGAATGAAACACTTATCCGTGCCTTGAAACTATACGAAACCGCCATTTCCATTACAATCCTATTATCCATCCTCGGACGGCTTGTGTAATAAACCATTTACACATTACACCGGCCCACGCGTTATTTAAATACTCTTAAGGTACCTAGATCGCTTACAGGCGCATCCTATCGCAACGAGATCCTCCGACAGGTAACACCGACGCAGCGTCTGTAAACTACAACATTATGCTAACACCGTGACAATTACACTTAACGACACCAAGAAACTTGAGAATGCTCTTTGACTAATCGTCTCAGATTGTTTTGCCTCGTGTAGTTGGTAACATCTAACGCGGGATTTTCTGCTTCTGTTCCGCAGCTTTAACGCTGATCTAGAGATGCTGTCCAAGATCCCAATCCTACCAGCGTTGCGGGCCCAGGCAGAGGGTCTGCTGAGTCCCGAGGACCAGCCGAGCCAGTCGGAGAAGGACGGGGACGGGAGGGAAGAGGTCCTCAGCTTACTTCGGTGGATCTCGGCGAAAGACAATCAGAGTAGTCTAGAGCAGGTCGCGGAGCAGTGCTCCAGAGGTTTGGAGCAGTTCGACGAGAGGATGATGGAGGCCTTGAAGGCGGAGGTGAACGCGGCGATAGACAGCGCGAACAAGCAGGACATGAAGGAGATCAAGGGTCTCGGGGAGAGGCTGTTCGCGCTGGAGCAGCTGATGGCGCAGACCAAGAAGCTCGTCCAGGACCAGGGGGAGCTCGCGCAGGGTTTCCTCCAAAATCAGAGCCGCGTGAGCAACCTGGGCGACGCCAGCGTGCTGCCGGACCTCTGCACCTTCCACAGACGCCAGCTGCTCGTGATGCTGCAGAATCACAATCAGCTGAGGGACATCCGGCGCAGGTGTACCAAAGCGAAGGAGGAGCTGTCGGTGAACATCTACCATCGGCTCAAGTGGATCATGTACGTGGAGAACAAGATGATGGAGGTGGACAGGAAGCTGATGATGTACAACGAGAGCCTGAAACGACTCAGGAGACACTTGGAGGTTCTCCAGCAGATCCACCTCGCGCCGCAGATGTACATGAACGCGGTCGCGGAAGTTGTCCGGAGGCGAACCTTCTCCCAGGCGTTCCTGGTCTGGGCTAGCAACCTGGCGTGCCAGCTGCTCACCGTGCACAGTGAGGAACTGGCCCGTCGGAGGGAGTTCCAGAGCAAGTTCGACGGACACTTCTTGAACACGCTGTTCCCGGGGCTGGAGGATACGCCGCCGCCTTTCGCGACGCAGGCACCGTCCGTCTTCGACAGTGGATTGCCAAAGGTATTAGTCGCTGTGAACTATCTTCGGATACAATGTCTCGCAGCTTGACCCAAAGCTGAATCTAGAGTTAACTGAGCAAACATCAATGATTCATACGACGTTTTTCTGTTGCAGTTGACGGTGGAAGACATGGAGTCGCTAAGATCGCAGCTGCCAGACCTGGCGCTCGCCGTGTCGTCGCCGGACTTGAACAGCATCACCCAGTTCTTCTTGTCGAAGAGTCTTACAGAGGCCAGTACCGACGGCAACAAGGAGAAAGATAGTACTTCCATGAGAGTGGACGTGGCTGTTAAAGAACAAGAACGAACCAGGGCTCCGATGATGTCTGACAGGTACCTGACGATAAAACGAAGTAGGAACGCGGTTTTGCTCGTACGAGGCGGGTTTCATAACTGGTTTTTGTATATTAAAGAGCAGTGTACCCGCGAGGGATGCATCTCTTCGATTTTAATGTATCTTTGCACGTCAGGAGCATACAGTTTACAAATGGAAGACTATTAACACGTTGAATGTCATGGCAGTCACCGATGACCCCCAACCAAATCTAGTTACTATAGTTCACTTAATTAAACGATGATTATTTTAAAAGATTCCTACATTATATATAATGCTACCTAATGCGGTAACATTCAGATAGATCAACGTGCAATAATAATGCGATTCAATCAAATGATTTAATATCATATTCTTTCCATTCTATGTATTTTACTCTATGAAATCGTGCGGTATGCAACGTGTTAATATGACGTCATTTCTTTGTCCCATTATCTCGCAAACATACATTAAAATCCAAAGCTGCTTTGAGCGAAAGGAATGTACTAGGTAATTCGCATAAAATCCTTTATGTAGAGGATCTCGTACATACTTTCCACGTTTCCCATCGCTAATCGAATCCTTTGTCACTGTAGGGGTGGCTTCGAATCGGAGACGGACACCGAGGAGTTCGAGAAGATCGGGCAAGGGGCCGCGGACTCGAAACTCGAGTCGTTCGACGACGCGAAACAAATGCGTCAGAAACAATTGGAGGTTGGTGCCTCGCGAAGCGTGTCCCCCTCTTCCTCCACCTCGACTAACGTATCCCCGCTAAATTCGAAAGTCGTGGACCTGACGAACCGGTCGTCCTCGTCAAGCGAGCCCGGATCCTTCCATTTCCCTAGCCTGTCCGTCAGCGAACGGCCGTCCCAGCTGAGCCCCCTCACCGAGTGCGCGGAAAACGTCGAGTCGAGCTGCGCGCTCCATCGCGCCGCGAACGGTCTTTCCAAATATAGCGAGCAGCCGCCGCCGACGGCGGCCGAGGAGCCGAGTTCCCTAAGCCCGAATCCTTCTCCCCTGACACCGTCCGTGTTGTGCGACGGCCAGCAGCATCAACGGAACCAGCTGTCCAGCAGTGGCGGCAGCAGTCCATCGGTCGGGGTCGGCGCAACCGACTTCATGGGTACTGAGTTTTACATGGACGAGTCCCTGCCGAGCAGTCTCAGCGAGCATCCTGTCGACGGCCACCATCAGGCTATCATTTCCCTTCTCCAGGTACTGGACGACTTACAGCTCGCTAACAGACCTCGTAGTCGTAGCCGTAAACGTTCCACTACCTTGAAATCTGATTTACCCCCCAGGCCCGCCTTGTCCGATGGTTACACTGTAATACTGTATGCTTATACTCGTCTACCATCTAGAACTGCGGTTCAACTTGTCTCATTCTGATCCGGGAACCATGTCTTGTGTACCGGGGCACAGGGTGTTTCACCTTCGCGTCAAACATTTTGTGAATGTCCCTTGCATTTTCGCCGATGCGAGGAGCGTCCGGGGAATATTCGATTTCGATCGAGTTGTACGTTGAAGGTATAAAATTCACGCGGATAATTGTGATCGTTGAATCATCGTTTACTAACACTACGTACGTGTTGTGGATGGTAAATGTTTCATTGGATATTCATCTGGTTTTACCAAGGGATAATAATGTATTAACAGTAGAGTATGGAGGAACTTTGGAAGAAGATTAAACGTGTAGAAGGTTCTGTTTCATACGGATCAGTCATAATCATGCTTTCAGGAGTACTTTATTTTATGATTGTAAAGTGTATAGAAACGTTTTGTGTGTATCCTTTCTCTATTCGTTGGGACCCGCAGTTTGGTTGCCCTGATTTTAGAGCGTGTCTATCTTATGTATCCGTTCTGTGTGATCCTGCATCCCCGTCTTGCTCGACCCTGCCTCGATTTCTCCCCACTTATTCTCCCTTTCTGTGGTTTCTAGGTACTTTCGTTGTCATTGTCTTTACATTCGCTAGCCAATCTATTAGCGCTGACTTTATGCAAGTATGTATACCCCGAGAAGTCGGTATGTATCTCTTGCCTGCCATTTTCTGCCGTTGATGTGTAAAAACCTCCCCTACGTTTTTGGCCCCTTATCTTTTGACCGGTAGTTGAACCCTCTTCCAACATGTAGCAGCAATCCCCACCGCGTGTAAGTCGTGCGTGAGTGCGTGTGTCTTAATTTTTTTTTAATTACAGGATAGCTGCCGTCGCACTCGTATCCCATTTCCCCCCGATCCGAAAGTGTACACTTTTCTGTCCCCGAGATATATACTGTTTGACTCACCGAGTTCGTTCTCTCAGAATGCTAACCGAACTGTTCGCACACTCACGGTGTGGCGCGTGACTCTTTCATCATTGTTGTTCATCGGGCACAGTGTTCTTTTTGGGGTTTTGTTACTTACATTACATCAGAGTTGTCGTACCGCTCCTAAACAACTAACCGACTTATCCTCTCACCGATCACAGATAACTAAATAACGAAGCAACGAGGGTGTCGCGACGAAGGTACGCCGAGTGGCTGTTGAGAAACGATAAACATTGTTATAAAGCCGTGCATTACGAATGATAAAATTCACAGAAAGTCCGTATTACGGATCTGTAAGTTTAGAGAAGTTCATATTACAGACTGTAGAATTCACAAACGTGCCAACAGTCCTTAGCGTATCTTCGCTGATCCTCGATACGGCCAATCACGTGTTCTCGCACCCCCGATACACACCTCGCAATAGTATCATTCGTCGTTTCTCATCGGAACGTCTCCGGCGATCAACGTTTCAGGAGAATCTCGGCAACACTCGCGAGGAAGCGGAGAGGCTGCGTTCGATCCTGAAGACGATGAAAACCGTGGTGTGCGAGGCGATGACTTCGGTCCGCCAGGAGCTGTCCGTTCTGAGGAACCAGTCCGGCGAGGACAAGAGCAATCTCACCGAGATGATCGAGCGCGTTCGCGAGGCGTTGTCCTTGTACTCCAGCGAATGCGATCGTCGTCTCCGCGAACGCGAGCAGGAGCTGACGGTGGACCACGAGCTGGAAATGGCGGACGTGAAGAAGCTGATCCAGAGCCGGGAAGAGGAGATCTGCACGTTGAAACGGAATCTGCTGGAAAAGGAGACGGAGTTGTCGGAGCACGAACGCCTGGTGACCACTATGCGACAGAAGCTCGAGTCCGAGCAGACGGAGATGAGGAATCTGCAGACGCGCCTTCACCAACAGCTCGAAGAGGCGCTGGAGCAAGCGCGAGTAGCGAAGGAAGCAGCCGTGAAGAAGGTGAACGATGAAAGGTTCGTGGAGATCGCCCCTCTGACGAACTCTGTCACGCAGTGTCAAGATCGGATCCGCGAGTTGGAGGAGAACCTGAACACCGCCAGGAACGATCAGGAGAGGATGGTCAAGGAGGCTACCGACATGTTGCACATGGAGTACAAGAACGAGCTGGAGACCATCAGGAACCGATTCAAGCAGATCTCCGCGCCCGCCATGGAGAGGAGTCCCAGTGATTCCAGCTTTGAGAAGATCGAGGTGAGTTGATGATTATCGAATGATATTCTTAACCGAGGAACTAAACTAACGTCATCGTTTGCTCCTTGTAGAGACTCGACGTGATGGAGCTCGGTTTCCGCATCCTAGCGCAAGTGAAGGAGAAGCACATAGCCGTTCGAACAGCGGTGGAGAAAGAGAGAGCAGCCTGCATGGCGAAAGTGGATCTCGAGCTGCAGCTAGCCAGGCAAGCGGTGGAGGATAAGGAGCGCGAAGTGAAGATGTACAGGATGAGAGAGTTCGCGCTTCTGGAAGAGCTGGAACACTACAAGACGACCATCAGGAGAGTAATCGAGTCGGAGGAGTTCAAGAATATCTCGGACGAGATGAGCTTAAGTCACGTGCAAGAAGTGCTGAAGGGTCTGAGGCCCGACAAAGACGAGGTAGAGGTGTCGGAGTCGAAGAAAGTGCGGCTGGAGGCGAACGACGATCAGACTTGCCTATCTAGGAGACTGCAGATGCTGGAGAACGACAACAAGAGGCTGAACGCTGAGCTGCAGCAGCTTCGCGAGAGCAGGGATTCGGTGGAGGCGGAGATAGAAGCCTTGGAAGCTGACAAAGTCCGGCTGGAAGTGGAGCTGGTGAAGGAAAGGTCGAGGAGAACCTTCGCGACTCCCGAGGCTTCTTCATCCACTGAAATCCGCGAGAAGGAGATGAACACTTCGGTCTCGGTGGTAGCGGAGTCAGGGCCCAGTCGAGCGACCGGTACCGAGCCGCAATGCATGTGCATGGCGTATTGGGATTACGGGCGGAAGCAGCTGAAGAAGACCGCGATGATGCTGAAGCGCCGGGGTCGCATCACTGTAACCAGCTGCGAAACAGGGGACATGGTGCTGGTATTTTGGGACCCCACGTACGAGAACTACACGATTTATCAGGAATCATCGACCCTCTATTTCCTGAACTCGGATTGTATCGCCGCGCTAGACTTGGGCTTGAATCCTGATGGGACGCCTAAGAGCATTCAGACTATCGCTGAGGTTGTTGATAAAGAATACTGTCATGCTAAAAAGGTGAGGTACTTCAAGTGGAATAGGTTAACCCTGGAAACGGCTAAAGCTTGAAATTAAGTAACTTATCTTTAGAGCTGATCGCTTAGGTTTAATACTCCTTTTGAGAAATATCTTTTCTAAAGTATTACCTAAATTGTTCGAAAGAATTGTTCAATCTTCTCGAGGATAATGACTTCATACTTGATCTCTATAGCTTTGCAGAACAATATTGTTTATACTGATAGATTCTCTAACGAAATGTTTTCTTTCCAGTCCGAGAATAGATACCATGTGCTACGTGGCACCAAGTTCTACCGCGTGCGAATGAAATCAGTGAGCAACAGCCCGGCACCGTCGACGAGTATGCAGCAGCAGTAAACGTCCTCACCCATCAGAGGAACCCTTTGATTCTTGCCTTGATTAGACACGCTGCAACCCCCGGATTCACGTTCAACGGATGGACAGTGTCCTGTAGGGCACGGTGCGTTCGGGACGTGGGTCCACCAGCTTACATCATCATCCTCGCGACCATCCGGATACCGATCCTTCGGATCAAGGCCAAAACCTGCCAGAGCCTGTAGACGCATCCTGAACGCCACCGAACAGGGAGAAACGTTTTCTCGATAGATAAAGAAGGTATGGGCCGCCCGAATGGTGTGGTGCACGCTAAAGCGATCAGACGATCAGGAGGATGCGCTGGCGTTTCATTGTGATATAAATAATTTTTAAAACGAGTGAAACATATAATTGCCGAATGCTGTGGTTAGCTGTGAAGTGTAAACGATGATTTGTATTCCTTTTTCCTCTGTTTTTCTTTTTCATATACGAGACACAAACATTGAACGTGAGCGAACGGCAGCGAGAGAATGCGAGAGATGACGTAGAAGAGTAAGGGTGAAAGATAAGATAATACTACTAACGTAATCGACGATACTTCTTCTTGTAATTCGATATTGAACGAATGTGTAAGTGAGAGAGAGAGAGAGAGAGAGAGAGAGAGTGAGAGAGTGAGAGAGAGAG